AAGTGAAGGGTCCTGAGTTCAATCCCCGGTAGAGAGCCTCTCTAAGGGTGAGCATGTTAGCTATGGCTGCTCAAGTGAGGAGCAGTGACTTATTTGCGCCTGAGCAGAACTGGAGCCCTGCTTCAGAGGAGCCTGTCGGGGATGGCCTCATCCCAGTCGGGTGGAAATTCTAGTGAGCACTCCGACATGGGGTTTTATAGCTTTCTGCTGCCTTGCTCAAGAACTGGTTTGCAGGGGCCGGAGAGATGGCTCAGTGGAATAAGCGCTTCCCTGGCAGCGCAAGGACCCGAGTTCAATCCCCGGTTTCGCAAAATAAATAAATAAATAAAAAGAAAAAAAGAAAAATAACTGGTTTGCAGAGTCGCTTGTGACCTGGGAACACGGCTACCTTCTGGCCTCTGTTGGCCTTTTGGTTTCCCAAGGGGACTTCAGCCATGTAGTCTCTTGGGTGTCCCTAAAGGAATGCCAGCACCTGCTTGGGAGGATGGACTGCCTGGAGGAGCCATAGCCTTTCCCGCTTGTGTTTTGCAGGTGATGGCTAGTGAGTCAGCAAGCTGCTTCTCTCCGCGCTGCACGGGCTTGCAGCACTGTCAGGAGTCTGGGTAGCTGCTTAGCCTCTTGCCTTTTCCTGGTATCAATGCCCAAGGACGAGCTAAGAGCTCTGCCTCTGGAGCGGAGGTCCCTCGGGAAAGGGGTTTGGCCTCAATCCTGTTTCTGTCCAGTGTGAGCTAGCAAATGGCAAAAGATGGGTACGAACGGCAGTCAGCATTACATAGTACTTTTCAGTTGGCCCTTTTCACAACAGGCTAGGAAAGTGGTGTGAACTCCCCTGGCACTCGGGCTTCTATTGTTCTTTGTCTCTGGAAAGCCCTGGGAGCCAGAGGAGGAGGGAGCCGACACATTGATGATGCTGTTGTCAGGTGCCCCTGCTTCTTGGGGGACAGGGCTTTGCCTACCTGTTTTCTGGCACCCCAGAGAACCCCAGTGTTCTCAAAGGACTCCGTAGGTTTGCAGATGGGGCCTGCAGGCCCTGGTGGCCATGCTGCTGACTCTTGCTCTGTTCAGCAACTGGGATCTATGTGAGGACGGAGCAAGAAAGGCTGAGAAAAAGATCAAAGTGATGGCTGTTCTGTCAGGCATAGTGGCACACACCTGTAGCCCCAGCAACTCAGGAGGCTGAAGCAGGAGGATCACCACCAGTCTGAGGCCAGCCTGGGCTGCATAATGAGTTCAAGGTCAGCCTAGGCTACATAGTAAGACCCAGGCTCAAAATAAAAATAAAAGGGCCAGTGAGATAGCTCAGAGGATTAAGTGCCTGCTTAGGCAAGCACAGGGATTGGGGTTCAATGCCCAGGACCACACGCTGTGCTGGCCCCGCCCCTGGTGTGCTGGGCATGGTGGTGCACACCTGTAATCCCAGTGTGGAGAGGCTGAACACAGGAGGATCACTGCAGGTCTGAGTTGCATAGTGAGACCCTACGCCACATATATAAAAAAAGAAAAAAAAATTGCCTCCTTGCTAGGACAAGTCCTGTCTGTGCTCCCTGCCACGGCGCATGCGCTGCAATCCTGCCTCTATGATGCCTGCAGGCCAGAGAATGGCCATTCGTGGGACAGCGCCTCCCACGTGTACACAAACACCAGGACATGGCTGGCCAAGCCCGAGGCACAAGGAGGTGTGCGCCACCACTGGGGGTAGCTTTGTCCAGGAAGGACGTCAAAAGGCAGAGATCCTGCAGTAGTCAGCTCACAACAAGCCAAACCCCTGCCCCCGGGGACCTCCACTCCAAAAGCAGGGCTCAGAAGCACCGCCTTACTTGAGCACTGATTCCGGAAGAGGAAAGGAGCTAAATACCTCTACAGACTCCAAACAGGCTGCAGCCCCTCAAGATCCCAGCCCTGTTCCTACTTTGGTCCTTCCTCAGGGACAAGTTATGAAACCCTCTGTGAGAAATGGTCACTGGAATTTGCATGGAACTAGGATTAGCAGCAGCCACCGCCCAACAGGGCTGCAAAGCTTGCTCTTTCTGTGTGGTTAGCGTTGTAGAGAGGACAGGGACACACCCTGGGAGCACTGACAGTTGGCTGCACCCACTTGCCGGCGGGGCGGCCGTGGGATGCAAGCAGATATTGGCCTTGACTGACACCTTTACAGGCTGGATGAGGCTTCCCCTGCCTGTTTAGAAGAGGATAAAGAGGTGGTCGCAGTGCTCCTTGAAGAGGTCACTCCCCAGGTTGGCCTCCCCCATCCTTTCAGAGAGACAGTGAGTCTTACCTCCCAGCTCGGAGTGACCAAGGCTTCAGGAACACAGTTCCAGCTCCATTCCACCTGGAGACCTCTCCGGAGAGGTCGAGAGCCAGCCAGACTCGCGCGCAAGTTCTGGCAACACTTTGCCAAGAGGCCTTGGAGTCGTGACCCCAATTATCGCCAGAAGCCCACCTGAGGGTTCGGCACACGGCAAACACGGCTGTCAGTGCACGGGAGATGTTCCTGGGACACCTCCTCTGGCTTCTGGTAGAGTAGCGAGCCCAGAGAGCGCGGGACTCTTACAATAGCTTATTGATCGAGGCAGGTACAGCTGGCGACCCAAGTGTGAGGGGCAGAGTCCTGCTGGCCCTGGTGGGCCACCGACTGCCTGCCCTGGAGACCAAGTGCTCATTAAAACTCAGAATGAAGGGACCTCAGAGGCCAATTAAAACAGGACAGAAGGGCCCCTTTTCAGTGAGCCCTGCCACACTTGCTGCAGCGGCTGAGCCAGAGAGACCACTGGAGTCACCTCTGGAGGACAAAGCTAGTCCCGCTTGAGCTGTTCGAAGACAAAGGCAAGTGACTCCTCTAGGCTCTGGGCCTCCAGCATTGCTCCTGATAAGTAGATGTGCGGCAGTCAGGAGGCTCCTGTTTCTAATTGGATTCATAATGCACACAGCCCTGCTCAGGCCGCAGCTCCTCTGAGGCTCTCCGCCATTTACCCACCAGCCCTCTGCCTTGCTTCTTCCTGTGCAGGAAGCGCAGAAATGGGCTCTGCATCCAACCTAATAGTAAAGTTTCTTTCCCCCTCAGACAGACGGCTCAGCAGCCGCTCGCTCCTCAGCAGCCGCTCGCTCCTTTCCACGGGGTTTGCTCCTTCAGCCCATCCAGTGCACAGCACCCCAAAGTGGCCAGAGAGCAGGGACTCCCAGGGGGCGGGAAGTAGCTGGGTGCAGACAGGGACCTCCGCTCCCTCAGCAGCCGGCACAGAATGGGGGCTCGAGTCTCTCTGGGACAGGAGGCAGGAAGGGTGGCGGTGGTGGCAGCCCAGGGAGCACGTGTGACCGGGGCGCCGCGAGGTCCGGGACACATGCGCAGAAGGGTCCCTTAGCCCTGTGCAGGGACTTCTGGCGAGAACTCGCGCAGCCTGGGTGGGAGAGGAAAGGCCCTGGGCCGTGTGCTGCCCCCCGGGGCTCCCCCGCAGGGGCTGCTCTTGGCCTCGGGGTGCACTTCTTGTCCTCTTTTACTTAGCCCAGACTCGCTCTCGACTCGCTCTCGGCTCCTGTTTCTTTTCCTACCTTTCACACATGTGGATCCTCGCTGTGGTTTGCACTAGTCTCGGGTGATTATTTGCTCAGGACAGAAAGACCCTAGAAAGTATGTCTGAACAGAGACCCAGAGCCTGCTCACAGGAGGACTTGCAGAGAGGGGCTGAGGTCGGGTTCTGACACCATGTAGGGGTAACCACCTCCCCCGCCCCACTGCAGAGCGGCTGTGACCTGGATGAGCTGAACTGGGTCGGTAAGGCGGTGCGAGGTCGCCCGTGGGCGCTGATCCCATGGGCTCGGCATGCACAAGCGCTGGGTTGTGACGGCACCAAACAGTACAATTAAGAGGGAGACCAGGAGGAGCCTCCCTACCCCTTGGGAGGACAGGGACAGTGTCCAGGGACGGGAGAGGAGAGGCCTCACCAGTGAGCTCCTGGACCTTGGCCTCCAGAACTGTGACAAGATAAACATCTGCTGTCACAGCCCTCACCCTCATCTTGCACAGGTCAGCTGCTTCCACTGGGCTAGGGACAGCAGGGCGGCCAATTCATGACGTCACATGGCAGGCCTGGTCCTTCGGGCAGCTGTACCTGCATCGAAGCCACACCCGGGGCCCTGGTTTACAATAATGCATTTGTTTTTGGGAAAAAAAATCCACGTAGACAGTCTGCTGCAACTGTTTATTATATTTAGAAGTCTACAAATTTGAGCTGTTAAGAAAAAAACAATCACAAAATATTCATTTGTAATCACATTTTTGTTCATCAAATTTCAAATATATTTTACTGTGTTGAACACTGTATCCTAGTGCTGTCTAAAACACAGCCAAATTACTCGTCTTTATTGATTTATACATTTCTATAACTTTTTGAAAACCAAGATCAAGATAAAAAAATAATAAAACCACCCAATTAAAGTTGTCCTGTGGCGTGAACTGTCTGCTCCAGCTGCCCGGGCCCCCGTTCTGCATCTGTAGGGGCTGCCCTCCAGCACACGGGGCCTCTCAGTTTGCACTTCTAAACTCAGACAGCAGCGCCCTGGCAGTATGGAAGGCTCGGTCTGTTAAAAGCACTCATTGGAAAATATTTTTAACTTTATAGAGCATACAAAATAATTTACAAAGAGACAGATGACTTTAAACATTATTTCGCAATCACCTTGGTGTGGAAAGCCGTGAAGGCCATTTTTGCTGCGCTGCTCTTACCCTGGCCCCCCTTTCTAAGAGGCACGGGCATCGTGGGGTCTCTCAAGCCCATGTGGCACCCACTGACCCCACTGACCCCAGGGACCCTGCTCCCCACATGAACTGCCAGTCTAGAAGCGGGGAGCAGTGGCCTTGGGAACCAGAGACTCCAGGAACAAAAGCAGGGCGCGCGGGCACAATGAGGGGACTGGAGCGCAGGGTTCGGTGTCAGCCAGAAATCACAACGAAGCTCCTACTACAGCTCAGAAGAGCACTACAGCAGAGGCGCAGACCTGCCGTGGAAAGGCCCGGGAGTGCGCACAGGTGTCCGCACGGCACTACGCGGTCCCAGGAAGTGGATTAAGAGCCGTAGCGGTCCTGGAGAGAGAAGCAAGACCTGGGTCCACTGGTGTCGGCTCCGACCTGCGCACCCAATGTCCGGTGGCTCCTGGAGCCCTCACAGGTCACCAGCGTATGTGTCACCAACCCTCGCCCCACAGCCAGCTCACACACTCCACCCGGCTCCACACTCCACCCGGCTCACACCTGCACAGGTAGGGCTGTGTGGGGACACTGCGTGAGGTATGTGTGCATGGACGGAAACACACGTGGGGGTGGAAACACCACGGGGGCCGGCCGCCGAAGCTGCAGAGCCCAGCCTCCGTGCCTCCACTTCCTTACTTGTCACAACGGGCACAAGAAGGCTAACTTCGGAAAGGGTCACAGGCGGGGAGGTCACCCACCAGGAGGGCTGCCACCGGGCAGCTGCCTGAGCAGAGGGAGGACACTGGTAGAGGCAGCACTGCGTGCTCCTCGGGCACCACACACTCCTCACCCTCTCCTGGTTTGAGTAAAACAGTCCTCCGCGGCTCCTGTGTCAAGGTGGGTTCTGGAAAGAGCCGGGGTTGTGGGGTGCTGACTGCATGCATGGATGAGGCCCCGGTGACCCCAGAGCCAAGTGGGCTGTGAGGCGGAGGAAGGGGGTCACCGGGGTGTAGCCTGGGAGGTGCACCTTGGCCCCAGCCAGCATCCCCCATTCCTGGCAGCCACGCCTACCTTAGCTGACACCGTCCTGGCCACAGCCCCGGGAAGCCAAGAGCCAGCTCGGCCGCTCCCGAGAAGGGAGGGTTATGAATGTCTGTCACTGTGTTCCCATCAAGGCCACAGTAGCACTCCCTGGGGACCTGCAGCCTGCTTTGCACGGAGGCAACGTGGATCAGAGGATTAGGCCAGCCCCCAGAAGTGAGTTTCAAGTTAAGGGGATTCTTCTAGGATAACCAGGTGCCAAGAAGGTTCAAGAAACAAATCTCTTCCCGGCCCTGGGACGGCCTGCACTGCAGCGACAGCGGCCTCGTCTGTGCCTTACTCAGAAGGCTGAGGTCCCACGAAGGCCAGTGTGGGAACAGGGGAGTGACTGGACTCGCTTCCACTCAGCAGAACGTGCTTTGTGGAGCACCAGTCTTTCTTTTTTTGGTACTGGGGTTGAACCCAAAGCCTTCGCACTGAGCTACATCCTCCACCTTTTTTTCTATTTTTTATTTATTTAGGATCTTGCTGCAGCTGAATTGTGCAGCTCACCTTGAACTTGTGATCTTCCTGCCTCAGCCTCCTCGGGTGCTGGGATTACAGGACTATGCCATCACACAGGGCTTTACTGTCTTCTTTTTTTTTTCCTATTTATTTATATTTATTTGTGTGTGTGGCCAGCTCAGCCCACCAGGGGGCGGGCTGGCTGGCATGTGGTGCTGGGGATTGAACCCCAGTCCCTGTGCTTAGCAAAGCTTGTTCTAAGTAGGTGCTTTAGACCACTGAGCCATCTCACCAGCCCCTTTACTGTCTTCTTTTTTGATTTTTTAGACAGGTTCTTGCTATATCATCCAGGCTGGCCTGGAACACATGATTCTCTTGCCTTGGGCTTCCCACCTTGCAGAATTTTTAATTACATCGAAATGCATAGGACATCGTGGAGAAAACTAGTGTACAAAACCATGCAGGGCTGGTGAGATGGCTCAGTGGTCTAAAGCACCTACTTGGAACAAGCTTGGCAGACACAGGGACCACGGTTCGATCCCCCAGCACCACATGCCAGCCAGCCCCACCCCCTGGTGGGCTGAGCTGGCCACACACACACACACACACACACACACACACACACACACAAATAAAATTTAAAAAAATAAATAAAAAAATAAAATAAAATATTAAAAATAAAAAAACCATGAAGACCATATAATCACCTTTTAACTTTAAAAGGTTATGCACAGAAATCTAGAACTAAAAGAAAATATACCAAAATATTAACATTTTCCCTGAGTAAGGGGACTGTAGATCTTTTTTTTTTTTTCTTATTCTCTGTTCCAATCCAGGGAAAATTAGATAATTATCATGACAGTTCCTGTAATCATTCTCCTAGTCATAAATTAGAAAACATCGCACAAATACAAAACGGTAATTTCTGGTCCTGCTGGCCTGGTTACACTGCAGCGAACACACCAGCCAATTACATGCAATCTAATTGTGCAGCGAGTGGCTGGCCCCGCCACACCACGCATGCTCGGACGCGTCACTGACCTGGATGGAGGTCACGACCCCATTGGCGAACACCGAGAGCTTCCCAGCCACCGACCGCACGCCCTGCTTGAACTGCGCCATGTCGGGGGCGTTGGGCAGCACGCTGGACAGGGTGTAGTTGCCTGCGCACGGACCACAGCTGCTCGCACCTGCCCAGGTGCACGGCGACCCTCCTCCCGAGCAGCTGCATCAGAGCTCCGACAGCCGCCCTGCACTGGCTCCAGGAGGCTCCTGGGGCACAGGGCCTCGTTCACTGGCTCCCACATGCTCACTACTCATTCATTCACTCAACAAACATTTGCTGAAGGCTTCCTCTTCAGGCTCCTTTGGGTGCCAGGGCAGATAAAAGGGACAGGTCCCACTGGGGAAGAACTGGGGGTCCAGTGGGGAGCAGGTCGTTCAGCAGGCATGGTGCAGAGGGGCCTAGCGAGGGCCCAGGTGTGGGGGGCACACAGCCCAGTGAACAGGGGTGGGGTGTCGGGGTCCCGAGCCCCAGGACACCCAGGGGCTACAGCCTCGCAGGCTCAGGACAGCTGGTTGAGGCACAGGTGGGAAGAGACAGGAATGGAACCAGAAAGAGGGGCAGGGGCAGCAGGCCGCACCAAGTGGCCACAGTGCAGGCAGCAGGGCCAGGGCAGAGATGCATACCAGGCGCCTGGGACCCAGAGAGGAGCTCACAGCCCAACCTGAGTGCAGGAAGCGCTCACCTGCCGGCTGCTTTCGCTGCTCTTCAAACAGGTCAGCAGAGCTGATGGCTGAGCTGGCCGAGAGCCGCTCCAGGCGGGCCCTGGCTTCATACTGAGGAGACAGGACAGGGACGTCAGGCTCCTCCTCCTCCACGGCACTATCACAGGATAGTGACCGTGTTGCAGGCAGCCTGAGTTAGATAGAAATATTATAGGCCGTCAGACAGGGTCAGGCCCTCGGAGGAGATGACAGAGACCAGACACCTTACACCTGTGGGAGACGCTCCTGCTGAGCCAGACCTAAAGACCAAACAAATGCTGACCTCCCTAAAGTTGGCATCCAGGACGGCTCATTAGTCGGGAAGAATCATTGTCTGAAGGCCACCAGAGAAGGTCCTGTTCTACATTCATGCCCGCTTGCTACGTGACTCGCTACCCCATTTGGTCCTGGGCCTCATCAACTTTACCTGAGCAATGGTACTTGTAATCCCATTGGGCGTCCTCTCCTGTATCCGCCTAAGTGGGACCCCTTTGTCTCTACTTTAGCCCCGCACTATAAAAGTCCCTGGAAGAGACAGCTTCCCTGGGAACTACCTGCTCGGGCCCCCTCCTGTCCCTCTCTTGGACAGGAGCTTTCTTTCTGTCAATAAATATATTCTGCTTATAACCTCCGTTTGTTCCTAAAATTCATTCTTTGGTTTTAGAGAACACGAACTCGTCCAGGTCAGGTCGGGAGATCATTTTCCCCTGTCACTTGGAGGTTCCCTAAATCGTTTGGAGGTCACCCAGCTGAGATCAGTTTTTCTCCCTGTATCAATCAGACTCTGGGCTCTGCTCCATCTGGCCACAGTGTCACTGGCTGGAAGCTAGACAGGAACTACAGCCCAGCCTGACCAACAATTACTGACTGGCTGGGACCAGGCCTCTGACCCGAGCTGCAGCCCAGCACTGCTTGCGCTGCTCCTGCTGGGATTACAAGCGTGGGCCTCCACTCCCGGGCCAACTGTAAAGCAAGAGGTTTTAGGGGCTGGAGGAGCAGCCCCGGGCCACTGTGCCCTTGACTTGATGGCGCTGCCACAAATAAAATCGGCGCCCTCAGAAAAACTGCATGAGGCCGGGAGGCCCAGTACCAAGGAGGCCCTGCAGTCTGTGGAAACGAGCCCCTGCACCCGGTGAGCATCCCAGCTGCCAACGGCGGCGAGCTCAAGGCTCTGAGGAAGCAGCAGCACCCTGAAAGGCGCAGCTACCTCCAGAAACCCGTGTCCATGTAACTCCGGCAAGAAGTCTTCCATCAAGCAGCTGTGTCAAACACCTCTGGAAATGTATTGAAAAGCTCTTGCTGGACACACACACACACACACACACACACACACACACACACAGCCAGAGAGCCGGCCGGCTTCCTCTCCTCTCACACCCTGAGGCCCTGGGACTCTGACTCTTACGTCGGCTTGGGCGTGCCTTCCGAAGTACATGTCGGAGGAAATGGCCGTGACATTGCCAAATTTCTTCTGGGCCTCGTCCACGCTCTCTGAGGGCGCGCAGTCGGGCTTGCGGCGCGCGGCAGGCCTACAACAAGGGGACACAGCAGCTCATGCCAACATGCTGAGGCCCACGCACTTCCTGTTCGCTGTGCATCCACCAGTCGGACGTTTACTGCTTAAAAGTGCAGAGGCCGTGATTTTGTAAAAAGACCTCCTGGCCGTCTAGGAAGCACAACCCGCCAAGGCACCAGCGCTGCGGGACCCTGGGGGAGGCGTCATTTCACAGCCGCGTTGTGAGCCAGTGTGGAGCTATTCAGCACAAACGCCCTGACCACGCGCCCGGCAGGCCCGGCTGCAGAGACGGGTGGGTGCAGGTTCCAGGCAGTGTTCCTTCCTGCGCCAACACTGACACCTGTGAGCCCGCAACACAGATTAATTGTTTGGGGAGGGTGGATTTTCGAGGCAGAGCTTTGCTCTGTAGCCTTGGCTCATGAACTTGCGGCAGTTCTCTTGCCTCAGTCTCCCAAGTGCTGGAATTACAAGTGTGTCGTACCACACCCAGCTACTGTAGTAATTTTTTAAAAATTAAACATTTACTGTTCTGTTCTTTTCTCTTTGTTTCTTTTTTTCTTTCTTTCTTTGTCTTTGAGACAGGGTCTTGCTATGCAGGTCAGCTGGCCTTGAACTTCCCTGCCTCAGCCTCCTGAGTGCTGGGATCACAGGAGTGTGTCTCACACTCAGCCCAGTCACTACTTTTCTATCACACTTGATAGCTCAGTGCAAAATTTCTGGGTTTAATCTCCAGTGTGGCCCAAAACAAAACAAAACAATCCCTACAGAACCTTCACCTAAATGGGATGAGCCACGTGGACCCCACTGCAGGGGAAGCAACCCCCTGGTGCCTCCCAACCTGCGGGCTCAGAATCCCAGGGCAAAGACTCCATGAGTGCCAAGGGCCCAGGTGACACTGACGTGCCCCCCAACGCAGTCCCCGCCTGGTGTGACAAGGGACCTCAAGACAGTTGCCTTGCAGCTCCTGGACACAAGGGTTCCCCACGCCAGTACGCACCTGTCGGAGGCACCCGGGCTCCTGCTGGCCACCTCAGTGTCTCTGCCACCCTCCTTCCTCCAGTAAGAGTCAGAGCTGTCATCCCAGTCTGAGAAGGAGTTGCCTCTCAGCTCCACGAGGTCGTCAAAGTACCTGTAGGGACAGGGATGGACAGTGGCCAGGGTCCTCATGCTACCCTCTCCTGCTGGGGTCTCAGCCTTTGGGGTGACCAGGCTGAGCCCACCTTGGCCGTCCTGGCAGGAAGCAGAAGGCAGCCTTGGGGATCAGCCCAACAGCAGGACCAGCATGGACGGGACAGCTTTCCTGTCACTCAGTTCTGCTCCCTCTGGTCCAGTGACAAAGGCCACTGCAAGGCCTTGGACTGCCACACCCAAGGGTCCTGGCTAGCAAAGCCCTGGGTGTCAGTAAGCACGTTCAGCGCCAAGGATGGGCGCGGCACCAGTGCGTGGGCTGGGATGGCACAGATCTCAGCAGGGCCCCAGCGGCCCCACCCTGCGAGCGCTCAGCAGCTGCTGCTTCCTGATGCACGTGGTCAGAGCGGTCCCCAACCAAGAACAGCATGGCGGCCCGACCAGGACAGAGGCTAGCCCAGTAGTGACCGTGCCACGTTAGGAGGGAAGAGCCTGCAGATGCGCACCCTGATGAGGGTGCAGTCACGGCCTGAAGGACGCACACAGGACGGAGGCGGCCAGAGGGCCTGTGTAACCAGGAGCGCACAGAGGACAGATGCACTGAGGGTCACTATTATGGTTTCTATCTAGTTGTCCCACCAAAGCCTCATGCAGTTGGGGGGCAGACTTCTAGAGTTTGTGATGAACTCATAATCCACTGGGATTATGGGTGTGAGTTCTGCACCCAGCCTTGGGCGGATAGCCTGAATGCAATTTAAGGAAGACAGACTTGCTCTCTGTTGCCATTGTGGTTCCTGCTACTTCCCCATTTGCTTTTGCTGTTTTGCTGCATTCTGCCACCATAAACAGCTGCCCTCTGCCATGGGCTACTCTGCCTTGGAGCCAGCTAAGTGCAGACTGAAACCTCCTCAGGCTGTGAGCTAAACAAACTTTTCTTTCCCTCATTTTGAACATAGGGTATTTGTCCCAGCAGGAGAGAGCAGTAACCAAGACAGTCATACTCAGCACAGAGGTGACACAGGATGCTGGCCAGCCCTTGGGACCTGAGACGGGAATGGGGCTGTGGAGACCCTCGAGGAGAGAGCAGAGTCTGTAGAGACTCTTGCCTTCTCCGGCAAGAAGGGAATTAAGGTCACATTGTGCTGCGCTGCTCACTTCTGGAAGCACAAGCAGGCAGAGCTGGGAGGCCCTGCTTCTTCACAGCACACCAGGACAGGCCGGGACCAGAGCTTGCCTCCGAGGACGCCTGGGAGATGTGGTGTGTGCTGGGCTAGAGCACGACCTAACAGGCGCGAGGCGCTCATTTATACAGGCCCAGAACAACGCTCAGAGCACTGCCGCAGGAAGCCTGCCAGCCACGCCAGTGGTGCTTCTGAGGGGGCTGGCGCAGCGCTGGAGGAAGGCTCGGGTGGGAAGCCTCCGTCCCTGCCCTCATGGGGGGAGGGCAAGTCCTGGGAGGCCTGGGCAGGGCCTAGAGGACAAGGACATGCCAGGGCACCGAGGCCCATGGAGCAGGGCACTGGCTGGGCCAGTGGGTGGGTGGGTGCTGCCACCTCAAGGCTCTTCACGACTTTGTGATTCTGTGCCAACTTGGAATGACTGAGGAAATGACAGCTTCTGGTCACACAAACCCAAGTGCCACTGCTCACAGGGCTCTCCCAAGAAGGACAGGGTCAGGGTCAGCAGGACAGAGCAGCAGCCCCTGGCCTCCCTGCAGAGCCCCCCCCCCCCTAGTGCAGATCTTTCCTGCACCTTAACGTTTGGGTGTCTGGCCCCTGGCCCGTGTCCTTTCTTCCCTCGCTTTGGCCTCCCACTGTCCTGGCTCCAATCGGAAACGCCCCCCCCCCCCCAGTCCCTGCCTAGGGCCGCCTGCACACTGTCTGCTGCTTACAGACACCATCTGTTCCCAGGCAGGCCTTGCAGACCTTCCCGGTGCTTATTCTCAACTCAGCCTGTAACTGCGTCCTTTACGTGCTGGACATAATGGAACTCAATAAAAGACAAAACCTGGGTGGGGCATGGTGGCGCATGCCTGTAATCCCAGCACTCGGAGGCTGAGGCAGGAGGATCACTGTGAGTTCGAGACCAGCGTAAGCTACAAAGTGAGTTCAAAGCCAGCCTGAACTGCATAGCAAGATCCCATCTCAAAAAACCCAAGCACGTGCTTGGCCTTCTTTTTTTTTTTTTTTTTTTTTTTTTTTTTTTTTGTTTTTTTTTGCCAACTTTCTGAACTGTAAGAAACATTCTGTCACATAAGTCCCCCACCCACATAAACAGTATACAGCATGGCACTGGACACCAATTTCACACACTTATGAAGTACATGATTGTAAGGCACTTTCGTGGTTTACAAAAGTGAATGCCTCAAAGTTAGATATTGACCCAAAATGGAGAAATAGCCTCATAAAAGCTTACTGGAGCTCTGAAAAACCACAGAGGTATGAATCATTAGTGATCATAGCCAACACCTTGAGAAATTCAGTGTAACTAAAGGACAGAGATGTAAGAGATAAACTGTTGAAAACTATAGAGTTCTATACATCTATGTCAGAATTCTAAAAGTGGTCTTATAAAAACCTATCAGTTATAGGTATGTTCAGTTTCTCAAAAATAGAAGACTGCCGAGTAGGCAACAATCTCACACAGTATACTGCGTTTAGACTTGGTGATGGCACTATACAGCATTACAGAGCTTTGTCAAGATACTGGGAATAATACAGACTGAATTTTAAATTAAATGTGAGATTGCATGTATATTCTTCAAATCAAGAGTTTTTAATTTCCAAATACAAATATCGTTGGTGAAAATACAATGAGCTTTTCTATGACTTAAAAATTATAAGATTTGGAATCTACAATATATATTCTTGTCTAGGAAAGACAAAAATGCTTAAATGTTATAAAGCCAAAAAACTGATCTACAGAGATTTTTTTTAAAAAAGAGATTTTTTATACAGCATCTTGTTAAGTTGCTAAATTGTCCAGATTGGACTCCTAGAACTTCCAAGCCTCCTGCCTCACCCTCTCAAATGCTGGGGTTATAGGCACATGCCACCATGCCTGGCTGATAATCAATTTTTTCAATGACATCTTTCCCCCAAATTCTAAACTAGCCAAATCTTCTTTAGATGATGAGTGGTAAGAAGAGATCATTAACAATATCAGGAATTCAGGACAGAAAAAACTACTTTTTTTCCCCATTCCTAAAATGAAAATGTACTTTAAGTTTTAAAAAATCACTTCTATATTACATAATTTCAATAACTCATTGGTTATCTTTTACCTAGAAGTCAGATTTCAAAACCATTTGTTTAAATAGTAGTTAAAATCGCAATTAGTACCGTACATTCTTCTTGTTGACGTGGACATTATAATGTGTATCTACCTCCTTTCCGTTATTTACAATTCAAACCTTTGTTGCATTTCATCTACAATCATTCCAGAAATTGCAAGGGAAGAAGTGGCAGCAGGGGAAGGTGCATTTTTCACGTGAAGAATTCGGTTTCCAATGTCCCCCACTCCTCCATCAAATACAAAGTCTTCCACCAGGTTTCCCTCTCTGTCCAGAGCTTGGGCTCTCACTCCAGCGGGACCTCTGAGTACATCGCTGGTGGTAATTTCAGGGATAAACTTCTGAAGGTGTTTCACTGTTGCACCAAGAAAACAGGCTTTATACATTTCATTAGCTCCATAGGAGAAATTCTGGAAAATCAGTTTACTTAAGCCACTGTTGATAATTATATCCACAGCATCTCTGGCACTGAAGTCAAAGGGTCTGTACCCTTCTCGTTTAAAGGCAAGCACTGC